CTCAAAAATGGTAAATAATAGCTACTATATCCCTGCCTCCTTGTTGAGTCTCTGATTTTAAGGTGAATGCCTCTGCCATTTCACTGAAATGTATGGTGTTGCTCTCTGATGATTATCTTGCTCCAATTAAGGAAACATTCTTTTATTTCTAGTTTACTAAGAATTTTAAAAATTCAGAGTGGTTGCCGGGCGCGGTGGCTCACGCTTGTAATCCCAGCACTTTGGGAGGCCAAGGTGGGCAGATCACGAGGTCAGGAGATCAAGGCCATTCTGGCTAACACAGTGAAACCCCGTCTCCACTAAAAATACAAAAAAATTAGCTGGGCGTGGTGGCGGGCGCCTGTAGTCCCAGCTACTCGGGAGACTGAGGCAGGAGAATGGCGTGAACCCGGGAGGCGGAGGTTGCAGTGAGCCGAGATCGCGCCACTGCACTCCAGCCTGGGTGAAAGGGTGAGACTCTGTCTCAAAAAAAAAAAAAAAAAAAAATTCAGAGTGGTTGTTGAATGTTATACAGTGTATCTCTAGAGACTATCATTTGGTTTTTCTCCTTCAGTCTAATAAATTATACTTGTAGATTTCTTAATGTTAGATCACTGTTTATGTTAAACCACATACTTTGTCATGATGTAAATTCTTTTCTTTTTTTTTTTTGAGACGGAGTCTGGCTCTGTTGCCCAGGCTGGAGTGCAGTGGCGTGATCTCGGCTCACTGCAACCTCTGCCTCCCAGGTTCACACCATTCTCCTGCCTCAGCCTCCCGAGTAGCTGGGACTACAGGCGCCCGCCACCACGCCCGGCTAATTTTTTTTATGTGTTTAGTAGAGACGGGGTTTCATCGTGTTAGCCAGGATGGTCTCAATCTCCTGACCTCGTGATCCACCTGCCTCAGACTCCCAAAGTGCCCGGATTACAGGCATGAGCCACCGCGCCCGGCTTGTAAATTCTTTTTACTACCACATTGCTGGAATTTGATAACTTTTTTTTTTTTTTTTTTTGAGAGTCTCACTCTGTTACCCAGGCTGGAGTGCACTGGTATGACCTCGGCTCACTGCAAACTCTGCTTCTCGGGTTCAAGTGATTCTCCTGCCTCAGCCTCCTGAGTAGCTGGTACTACAGGCGCATTCCACCATGCCCGGCTAATTTTTGTATTTTTAGTAGAGGCAGGGTTTCCCCATGTTGGCCAGGCTGGTCTCAAACTCCTGACCTCAGGTGATCCACCTGCCTCAGCCTCCCAAAGCGCTGGGATTACAGGTGTGAGCCACTGCGCCTGGTCTGATAATATCTTAATTCTTTTTATTTAAAAAAAAATTATTTTGTAGAGATGGAATCTCACTACGTTGCCCAGGCTGGTCTCAAACTCCTGGCCTCAACCCATCCTCCTGCTTCGGTCTCCCAGAGTCCTGCGATTACAGGTGTGAGCCACAGCACCAGATCAATAACATCTAAATAATCAATTTTCCCTTCATAACAAAATCATAGTGAGAAAGGAAGTTTCCCTTCTCTTTTTTGGGCACTGTTTGTCTTGGGTTTTAGTATGAGAGTTATGCTGCCTTGTGGAATAAACTGGGAAAGGGTCTCCCTTTTTTGAGATTTGTTTGGTCTCTCTAAAATCTAGCCAGTTTTGGGTACCCCATCGCACTCTCTTCTTCCTTCCAGTGGTGCGCCAACAGTACCATCAATCATTTTACCATGAGGATTTCTCACACTAGCTCTCAAGGTTCCTCATAAAGTGGGCTCACAATGCTGATCTCCAACAAAGCCTTTGTGTCTTTCAACTTTATCACATTCCTTGCACATGTCACAGACCTTACCATTTTCAAGGCTTTGCTAATTTCATGACATCTGCCTTGTTAAATCCTGACTATTAGTGTTTGGGCTGGTACTGGGTGTTGATTATGGCACAAGGGAACTAACATTTTAGGCAGAGACAGTGTACCTGCTTAGCACCCTTCATTTTATTTAATCATCAGAATTCTGGGAAGTTTTGTTATTTTTATTTGCTGGATAGGAAAATAAACGTTATACACTAATAAACGGAGGTGCCACTAAATACCAGTACCGCTTGATTGCAAAGTGATTGCTGCCTCCACTAGTTTCACCTCCTCCATTGTGTTCCCTAGGTAGTCTCTGATGCTGACCTGTATGTCCTCCGTGCTCCATTAGCAAATTATACACTGTACCGCACCATCTTACATTTACACTCTTGTATTTTCTATTTTTTCATATCTGTAGTGCTTGTCTCACACACAGCAGTTAATAATCTCTCAGAATATTTTTTCTTTTTCCCCTCAGAATGATCTCTCAGCGTCTGGTCATCCGACTCCGTATTTGGATATCATATAAATCGCGGGAAAAAATAAAAGGTGATTAAATACAAATAATTTTGACTGTGTTAGTCTTAGCTGTGTGTTGCAAGAAAAAAACAAAAGGTCTCTTTCAAAATAAGTTTAACTCTCAATGATCTCCCTGGGGCTTTTTAGCGACCCCTGCAAAATTAGTGCCTAAAAACACAGTGACTTGGCATTTGTGACTACTGATCACCTCCTCACTCAAGCACATCAAACAGCGGGATATCCTGGAAGTCGCACCTACAGCTCACACTTCCTAACAAGGAAAGCTAGACGAAGGGACGGTCTTTCCCAACAGCAGCGCGATGCAGGTCCTCCCCCCACCAGCTTCAGTGGGATGGAACATTCCGTGCGATCACTTTGACCGGGCGCCACTCGGAGTCACGTGGAGCTGTAGCGCCCCGGCGGAGCCCGGCGGAATAACGCGGGCTCGGGTTGCCAAGGGGAGGGGCGAGGCACCGCGGAAGAGGCGGAGCGAAGGAAGCCGGCCGTGGGGCGGGGTGCTGAGCGCAGGGGCGGGCAGAGAGGGGCGCGCGGGCGGGGAGGGCCCGGCGTATTATGGGATGCGGCGGTGGAATGGCGCTGGGCGCGTGATTTTGAACAAACCCTGGTCTGTGTCTCGGAGGCGCCGCCGCCGCCGCTGCTGCTGGGAGCCCAGGGAGCGCCGCGCGACCAGGAGGCGGCGGCGCCGCCGGCTTTGGTGAGTGTCAGCCGCCGGGATGGGGGCTACTGGGCGGGCGGGCGGGGAGGGGGAACCGGCCCCCGCTGCGAGTGGCTGCGCGGGCGGAGAGCGCTGGACCGCTCCCTCCGGGAGCCCGGGCCGGTGGGCCTTGGCGGGGAGCGGGAACCCGCCAGCGGGGTCAGCCGCGCCCCTTCCCTGGGCTGCGGGGGGCGGAGGATCCTCGGGGCTCCGTCTCTTCCCGCCGGCTCCCGGGAGGGTGGCTGTCACCCGGCAGGGCCAGCGCTCGGCCAGCCGCCTGCCTGGCGGTCTGGAGGAAGGGCTCCCGCGGCTGTTGACACGCACACTGCGCGACCCAACAAGCCGGCCGTGGCTGCCCCGGGTTTCTGGGAACCGGTTTTGCTGCTGTGTCATTTTGTGCCAGTCCCTCCTCTCCCTACTGCCCGCCGCCGCGTTCTTCCTATGCCCCTTTGTATAGGCTCTTGTTCGTGCGTGTCCGTTTTCCTCGCGAAGCCCACCAGCCAAATGTCATAATGTTCCCGAGGTGCACGGGGGAAGGGAGCGGGCCGGGACTTAGCTTGGACAGCAACGGTAAACAACCAAGCAGAGTGCGGATGGACGGGGCCGTCAGTAGGGAAATGAAGTTTAAAGATGAAGTAACTGATAACACTTTACACTCTCAGCATCTGGCAGTCTGCATATAAAAACAGCAATTGGGGTGGGTGGTAGACAGCCCTTGTTGAAGGCTGAATCTACCGACTTTTATATGGAGTTGCCATTGAAACAAGGTAGGGAAATGAAATGACTTTTTCAACTTCAACCTTAATCTTCTTACACTAACTTAGACAGTAGAGTGGCCCTGTTCGCAGCCTTGAAATTCAGTTTGCCCAGAGCTTATATTGTAGTTGAATGATAAAGAATTAAGTTTTTGGTTGGTTAACTCTTTTTGAAATTGACAAAGGCAGCCAGTTTCCTTTTTTTTTTTTTTTAAGTGTTGGTCTCAGAAGCAGCCTTGCAGCTTATGTTTTGTTATTTTTTAAATGATTAAGAATTATCTCTGTTCTCTTTTGGTTACTTATTCAACTGACTGATGACAGGAGCTGTTAACTCTCACTTACCTAGTAGGTAACTCTAGGGTCTTGTTCTGAAGCAAGCTGTTTATTTTCACTGTATTGAACAAATATATCAGCAGCAGATGGTTTTTTTTTTTTTTTAATTTGATGACTTAGATCCTAAAAACATTTGGCAAATACTTTTAGCTTAGAGTTATATTTTCAATATTTTAGAAATTGATCATTCATGAATGTTTCTACAATTAGTTCAATACATTTTAAATCTAGTTGCGCTTTGACGTCTTAAACCGATGACAGATTGGAAGTCACAGTGTTCATGGACAGAAATGACCAGATAAAATTAAGTTGGAGAGGAAGACAGCTCAGAACTTTATTTTTTAAAATGAAGTGTTTTGACCAGCTCACCTGCATGAGGAGTGCTGCCTGTAATTGACAAAGGTGTCAAAGGTCGAACATGCATATGGAAATAGCTCATCCTGTCAAAGTAGTTCCGCAGGTGGGGTAAAATGTCAAAGTTGGTGAATGACATTAAGGGTCTTCACAGTGTTTTTGGTACCTGAGATAGCCACAGTGAATAAAACGCATTCCACCATCTCTCTCAAGTTGCTGCTCTGAAAATAAAAGAGTTTGGGTTCTTTATTGTCCTTATGCCACCCTCCGCATGGCTTTTGGTCTTGCAAACAAAAATATGCCGGACTTGGGACCCCGCAGGTGGCGCGACTTCCTTTGGCGTCCCTGCGGGGGCCCGTGCTCCGCCCGGGGGTGAAAGGTCTCGGCGTAGCCGGTGTGCACTTGCACGGCCCTTGTGCGTTTGAAGGTTGGCGGGGCGGCGGGAGGCTTCCCCGGATATGTGGGTGTGCGCCTCCCGGGAGGGGCGGGCGGGGAGGGGAGGAGGAAGGGGGAGGTTACTGGTGGTGGCGGCGGCGGCGGCGGCGGCCCGGGCTCCGGCTGTCGGGGAAGCTGCTGAGCTGTGATGGTGATGACGAGGTGAAAATGGCGGATCTTTCGAAATACAATCCCGGCCCCTGACATACCAGAGGCGGCGGCGGCGGCGACGTCGCCACCCCGGCTCCCTTCTCGGGCCCTGGGTACCCTGAAGCGCTCCAGTTTGGACAAACTGGGAAAGGAAGCTGTTGGCCAGAGCTATCGTGCACGGGCAAAACAAGCCCCGCCGGGGCTCGGGATTGCCCAGGACCTTCTGGAGCCCCCACCTCGGAGCCCGAGGGAGGAGAAAGCGGCAGCCGCTGGAGGTAGAGGAGGAGGGGGTACCCGAGGGCTTCTCTGTCTGGAGATCTCTTTATTTGGGGGGATGGGGGTGGGTGGGGAAAGAACTGCGCTGTGGATCAAGGAATGACTTGTCCGGAGTGCGAAGAATCAGTAGCCTCGTCATGACATCAACATTATTCTTTGAGTGTTAAGAGGGCTCCAGTTTGCTCTTATACCTAAGGCTGCTGCTGAGGCCTAGAGGAACCGCTAGCACTTAGCATGATTTCCTGATACAATTTTTAAAACAGCCACTCTGGCGGGTGTTGCTTTGATGGTGTTCAGCAGTTCTTGGGGTTGTATGTTTCTTTAGGGAGGCAGAGCATTGGCATTTTATTCTGCATTTAAGGTCTGTGTCTTAGATCCTAGTCTGTAACTTGTTGGGGTGTGGATGTTCACATTTTATAGAATAGGGACCAGTTTTGTAAGAATTAGAAAAAAAATTTTTAATGCTCTGTTATCCATAGAGTAACCTCTTTGCCCCTGCCATTTGGCAAATAACAATTGAGATACTGTCAGTCATATTTTATACCCATGCTTTTCAGGGAAGTTCTTCTCTATACCCACCCTCCTGCCCCCGCCACTCTAGTTCATGAATTCATAGAGTAAAGTTATGAAAAATTTTGCGGTAGATTTTATAATGCAAATGAAATACAGCTTTAGGAGCTCTCTTTTGGTCCTGAGTTTTACCTTCATTGTTAGGGAGAGTTGTGATGGCGTGACGCAAGCATTTGTTGTGAGTACATTAAGTTGGTAAAGATAAATTGAGACCTCTGTTATTTCTAAATGCTGGAGTGTTTAGCCTAGCCCTTTGTTTAGAGAGCTGTATTGATTGACTATAACAGCCACTGTTTTATTAGGTTATCTAAAGACCCATGTAAGTTTTAGGTTATGCTGAAAGATCCCTAAGGAGTCGGTGTCCTTGCACACAACACTAGTGTTATGGAAAAGTTATATGTGAAACAAATGTTTAGGCTGGGCAAAAAAATTTTTGTTTGTTAATTTGGACCCTATGCTTTTCCCCAAGCTTTTTTGAGTCAATGACATTGAGTGTATAATGAACAGAGAGATTAGTATTTGAGGAATGCCCATGGGTAATGTTTATGATTAGCCCTAAATTTCCTTATTCAAATTGTCTTCAGAGAGTATATGTGATATTATTTCCTTATTCAAATTGTCTACAGAGAGTATATGTGAACACACTATGCCATAGTGTGTCATTTATCACAAATTTTGTAGTGTACTTAGAGGGGAAAAATTTTGTGTGAATGGATGTGTATAGTTTGGATGTCTGGCTTTCACTTACTAGAAGAATAAGAGACCCAAAAAATTTTTTAGGACAAATACCTGAGAGGTACTCAGAAGATTTAATGATAATGATAATGATTATTTTTTAAAAATAATTTGTCTGATGCTGTATTATTCAGTAGGTATTTGGTTTTGTCTTTTTAAAATTACAGTTTTTATGTTGCAGTTATTTAACCCATGCCTTATAGCTGCTGACTTAGTAGCAAGACTAAGAATTTTAAAAGTAATTAAAATAGGGGGATTAAAAAGCTTTTTCATTGACTTTCTTTTAATCACAGAGGGCTATTGTCTCTTTGTGATTCTTTGTGATTGTCTTTAAAGACCAGTTTTCATATTGTCCTGGTTAGAACAATTGTGTATTAATAATTAAAAATGTGTTAGAAAGAAATGAAGCAAGAATTATACCACCAGAGATAGTCCAGTGTTCATTTTTGGGGGGAAGAGTATTATAGATTTTCACTACTTTTTCTTTTTTTTTTTTTATTTCGAGACAGAGTTTCGCTGTGTTGCCCTGGCTAGAGGGCAGTGGTGAGATCTCAGCTCACTGCAAGCTCCGCCTCCCGGGTTCAGCCATTCTCCTGCCTCAGCCTCCTGAGTAGCTGGGACTACAGGCTCCCACGACTGCACCTGGCTAATTTTTTGTATTTTTAGTAGAGATGGTGTTTCACCATGTTAGCCAGGATGGACTCGATCTCCTCACCTCATGATCCACCTGCCTCGGCCTCCCAAAGTGCTGGGATTACAGGCGTGAGCCACCGCGCCTGGCCGATTTTCACTGCTTTTTCAAACATTATTATTGGGTGTCTATTATGTGTCATATAGTATGCTAGGGATAGTGGATAAAATAACCTCAATATCATTACCTCAGGGAACTTACAGTTTAAGAATCACTGGAGGTGAAGTTGGAAGGATCTATTCAGTGGGGCCTTGCTGCAAAAGGCCTTAAGAGTTACAGAAAATGTAACTTAGTGTAGGAGAATGACAACCTCAGAGATATACTTCAGAAGATAAATCATGTACATATAGCTTTTATGTAGAATGCATTACAGGTGAGAGGAGATGGAGGTAAAAACACCATAGTAGGATTCAGGATTTAGAGATTTAGACACGATTGGTTACAGGCAGATAGAGTCATGGTGAAGGTGTAATATGCATAATATATGACAGATTAATATTTCTATGGAAAGAAGAGATGTCAACGACCATACAATCGTAAGCCCTGGTGTTTGATAGAATTTTTTTTTTTTTTTTTTAATGAGATGGGGTCTTACTCTGTCACCCAGGTGAGGGTGCAGTGGATCTCAGCTCACTGCAACCTCTGCCTCCCAGGCTCAAGAGATACTCCCACCTCAGCCTCATGAGTAGCTGGGACCACAGGCATGGGCCACCACGCTCGGCTAATTTTTTGTATTTTTGGTAGAGACAGGGTTTCACCATGTTGGCCAGGCTGGTCTCAAACTCCTGAGCTCAGGCTATCTACCTGACTCACCCTCCCAAAGTGCTGGAATTACAGGCGTTAGCTACCACGTCCGGCCATTTGGTAGACTATTGAATGCTGTAAAACAATAGGGAAATCAGAAGGAGAAGCTAATTTAGATAAACAGGAAAATAACTTTGAGTTACAGCATACCTCATAACTATCTTCACAGTAACCCTGTAAGTAAACTGAAGCTCAGAGATGTTATTATTGACTCGGATTACGTGATAAGCAACTAGGAGAGCCATGATTTGGAAACAGATCTTTTCTGATTTTGAATCTCCATGTTTTTTCCATCATGTTAATCATAAGCATGAATAATATAGAGTTCCCTTTTTTATTTTTATATATTTGTTCAGTTTTATAGGCTGTGTTATTCTCATTCTTGGGTACAATGCCTATCCCTTGAGTATGTGAATAAATGAATAGCATTTATTTGTTATTTCACTCAATTATATAATCTTTTTTTAAAATTTATTTTTATGTATTTATTTTTTGAGACGGAGTCTCATTCTGTTGCCCAGGCTGGAGGGTAGTGGTGTGATCTCTGCTCACTGCAGCCTCCACCTCCTGGGTTCAAGCGATTCTCTTGCCTCAGCCTCTTGAGTAGCTGGGATTACAGGCACCCGCCACCATGCCCGGCTACTTTTTGTATTTTTACTAGAGATGGGGTTTCACCATGTTGGCCAGGCTGGTCTTGAACTCCTGACCTAAGGTGATCCACCAACCTCAGCCTCCCAAAGTGGTAGGATGTGAGCCATCATGCCTGGCCCATTTCTTTTTTTTATTATGGTGTTAATTCACACCCTTTGAAATACATTGTGAAATTCATGTAATTATCGTGTAGCAAAGACTTTATGGAAAGTAAGTTACAAAGTTAAGGAAGCTCACCTAAATAGAATGGGAGTAGTGCAGCAGATACTTCATATACATTTAAATATGAGTGGCAGAAGCTCAAATTTAAATACTATATACTTGAACATAGACTTTAAAGGTATGTGACTAATTTGGAATTCACCTTTTTTTCCAGCTTTTATTTTAGGTTCAAGGGGTACATGTGCAGTTCTGTTACCTGGGTATATTGCATGATGCTGAGGTTTGCAGTATGAATGGTCCTGTCACCCAGGCACTGAGCATAGTATCCAATAGTTTTTCTTTTATTCTTTTTTTTTTTTTTTTTTTTTTGAGATGGAGTCTCGCTCTGTCGATTGCAGTGGTGCAATCTTGGCTCACTGTAACTTCTGCCTCCCAGGTCCGAGCTATTCTCCTGTCTCAGCCTCCGGAGTAGCTGGGACTACAGGTGCATGCCATCACGTCTGGCTAATTTTTTGTATTTTTAGTAGAGATGGGGTTTCACCATGTTAGCTGGGATGATCCTGATCTCCTGACCTCGTGATCCACCCGCCTCAGCCTCCCAAAGTGCTGGGGTTACAGGTGTGAGCCACTGTGCCCAGCCAATAGTTAGTTTTTCAACCCTTGACCCCCTCCCTATGTCCCCAGTAGTCCTCAGTTTCCATTGTTGCCATCTTTATGTTCATGAGTACCCAATGTTTAGCTCCCACTTATAAGTGAGAATTTGTGGTATTTAGTTTTCTGTTTCTATGTTAATTTGCTTAGGATAATGGCCTCCAGCTACATCCATGTTGCTGCAAAGGACGTGGTTTCTTTCTTTTTTTTTTTTTTTTTTTTTTTTTACGGTGTCTTGCTCTGTCTCCCAGGCTGGAGTGCAGTGGCGCGATCTCGGCTCACTGCAAGCTCCGCCTCCCAGGTTCAGGCCGTTCTCCTGCCTCAGCCTCCCCAGTAGCTGGGACTACAGGCGCCCGCCACCAGGCCCGGCTAATTTTTTTTGTATTTTTAGTAGAGATGGGGTTTCACCGTGTTAGCCAGGATGGTCTTGATCTCCTGACCTCGTGATCCACCTGCCTCGGCCTCCCAAAGTGCTGGGATTACAGGCATGAGCCACCGCACCCGGCGGTTTCTTTCATTTTTATGGCTACGTAGTATTTCATATTGTATATGTACCACATTTTCCTTATCCAGTCACCATTGATGGGCACCCAGCTTGATTCCATGTCTTTGATGTTGTGAGTAGTGCTGCGATGACCATGCAGGTGCATGTGTCTTTCTGGCGTAAACATTTATTTTCTTTTAGGTATGTACCCAGTAATGTGATTGCTGGGTCAAATGGTAGTTCTCTTTCAA